GGGACCACTTATGGATTTAATGGATTTAAACTTTCAATATTGAGCTGATTTCTGCTATTTTCTTAGCCACGGTGCTCAGGTAAGCGATGTAGCCCATGGGCCTCTTGTAGTTCCACTGCGTTAGTACAATATAAATATATATTTATTGAATCGCATAATTATTAAAAGTTGTCTTAGCATTCGATAAAGTTGTCCCACAGTTGCTGAAATCGCACCTGTTTTTTTTTTTTATTCTACCCCCCCCCCATATATGGAGGATATGTTGCTGTTTGCAAAAACTCTGCGTACGTAGTGCTCAGTATGTGTTCCCTGTTATGGGTATTCACATGTTCTTACAGAAATCTCAGTTTTATAAAGGATTGCGAATATGTGCTTTTGAGTACTTTTCTACATAATGCAAAGTATTTAAAAATTCTGCAGCAGTGCATGTATGTCGTATATGAGCAATCAGAATGGATTTAATGTGTGCTTACTGATAATTAAAAAATCAGAGACTGAGTGATAAATAAACGAAAATACCTGATCATATTTTAAACATCACTGATGCAGTAGATTGAAATACATATATTCAGCCACTGAAACGTTTCCTGGAGAGAGAGAGAGAGAGAGAGAGCTATTATACATGTGTGTATTTTTTAAAGCAAAACTATGCACCCGTTCTAATTTAGTATTTTGACATAATTATTGACAATTGTGAATAGGCATACTTCTCTTCTTGACAGAAATGTTCTTTTATATATGGATACTTAAAGTACAAGTACATATTATACTGGTATAATACGGCTGTTTGGGGTATACTAAGTTCTCAAGTCTCAAGTTCATGGTTTGATACATAAACGGAATATTTCTCTTTTCCACAGAAAAATCATTTCACGTCAACAGTACTAGTGATTTGAAACAATTAAATTGATCATGTACATCATTTTATATCGCATGTATACCGTGCAATATACACAAATGGTAAATGCTATAAAATTAAATTTTCACGGCTTTAATTTATTATGGACTCTAAAAAATGCAGATAATATAAATAATGCTCTTTTCAAACTGTTTAATAAGATTTGTGTTTCTGTCCCCTTTTGTAAACCCGTTAAACTTCGGCAATGTGTATTGCAGCTGACCGACTTTAGCGTGGGAGAGACGCGATCTCGGTTACGTCCTTTGATGTGGCGAGAATGTGACGTAGTATTTAAAGTTCTCGACAAGCAAAGCGGCAGCTCGTCACAAACAATGTAATCCTTTAGGGGTTTTGCGATTTGCTCTAATTATCGATCTAAAAGGGTATTAAAAGAGTTCAAAATTCAAATATAGTAGCCTATTTGAAATGTACGTTACTGTCGCCGAGGCAAATATTATGCTGAATCCCCTCTGTGTAATATATAGTTTTGATTCTAAAGTAAAAATTTTCTGATAAGTTAAACCTTGTATCATATATATTTCTTTTCATAATAATAAATACATTTTCTTTGTGATAATAAATAATTTTTATTGTGCAATGTCCCTGTCGCTAAATTCTATTTCAACCACATTACAAGCAAACACAAAGATTATAAACCTGATAGTTTTGTTCTCCTTTATTAATTGATGGGCTAAATTTGAAATTTCAAAGGATTAATTACTCCTACTTAGATAATGTAACATGAAATAGAAAAATTTGATCAACTTTTATAGATATGTTTACGGAATGAAAGACATTTTCAATCGTAGAGATAAGAAAGAAATGTACGTTACCTATATTCTTCTATTAAGAATATATATTAAGTAGAAAATATGAGACGACTCTGAATAAGCAACCCCTTGTATCCTGTAAACTGGCAAAGACGTTTTGCTTTACACAATTAAAAATTATTTTTTAGATGAAAAATGATCATTTGAAATGTACGTGACTGAAATGTACGTTACCATGAAATTCGAATTAAGTGAATCTCGCACGAATTTTCATGTATTCTCATACTTTCACACACTCGAATGTGTACACAAAGGAAAGTTTCAAAGGTTGGAGGTCGGCTAAATCCCAAAATTAATGAAAAGAAACGTTTCTGCTAAGGAAAAAAAATATATTAATGTCAATTATATGTAATATAATTTTGATACCTGGTATATATTTCTGAGTATGAAACCTGTATGATGCATTTCTTATGATATGCAAGTTCAAATAGTATCAATATATTGCGTGTCTAACGTACGTTGTGGAAGAGAATTGATTTTTATATTTGAAATGTACGTTACGTATGGTAACGTACATTTTGCGCATTTCTTACTGACATTTTTTTTTTATTTAGTCAATGAATTGCGTTTACACGAGCAAAACAAAATTATCGTTACAATCCATTTGACAACTGACCACCAAAATCCATTTAAATACACCCCCAATCCTCGTAAATGTGGTAGACTATTACCACATGCTAGAAAATTTATTTCTAAGTGTCTTAAATTCATCTTTAGCAACCTTTCTGCAGTTTGTTTACTTTAAATATGCGACTTTTCGTCAATATTAATTTAATTGTTGTTGATAATTTAAAACAAGGTATGCATAGGCTTATAATTGGTAAAAAAAAAAACAAAACAAAACAAAAAAAAAAGAAAGAAAAAGAAACAAAACAAATAAACCCAGAACACAAGACGGTCACGTACATTTCAAATACTGAAAGGCACACAATACTCAGTTTTGTTTGAATCATTGCATTTTGGGTTATATTTTTCCAGTTTTGCTGAAAAGTACGTATGTTTGTGTTTTGACAAACGATGTTGCAACATACTAAATGAAATTGTTAACAAGGCTGTCGATGGATATATTCGGAATAGATTTTTGTTAAGTTTCAATGGCCAAACACAAGCATTTGTTAGATCATAGCAAAATACGTCTGACTCTTTTTTTTTTTTGTCTGTACCCTTGCACACAGTAGAAGTAACTAGGCTACGACCGGTGTCAATTTCAGCGAAACAGCACAAAAGAATGGTAATGAACTGAGGAGGGGACTCCCCAATAATATGTGAAATGAACGTTACCGAAGTGACGTGACATTCATGTAGTTGATGACAAATAACCACGTTTGTTACATTATGATTTCTTATATTACTGCGTTAAAACGCTTCATTGAAACGATTTTTATGTCAATAATTGCTTTTTTTCAATATTTTCTTATTACTAATTTACATATTATTACAAGCTTGAAATGTACGTTACCTACTCGTATTTTGAGGCAATCGTGTCTTTATAGTGATGATTGTGACATATAACACAATGTGATTACATAGAGAATCTTTTTTTGAATAAAGTGAAACAAAAAGATGAATTTTTAGATGAATTTTAAGCTTTTTATTAAACAGAAATATATCTTGAAATGTACGTTACATTTACGTAGTTGTCTGAATCGGCATGGATATATGTTAAAAAAGACAGTAACTACAAAATAGAATTTTACTACATGTACATGTTAAGTTCCACTATCTATAGAAAATGACAAGATTCCAAACTGATCACTCTAAACAAAACAGAGAGAAGAATTTAAAGCATATATTTAAAAAAATGTTTCTATACATCTGGATCAAAAAGGAACCATTGTTTTTTGAAAGGAAAAATCAAACGCACGTTCATATGCCGAGAAAATATGTTGCTGACAGAGTTGGTAGGATGTGCTGGTGTTAAGATGAGCTATTCCAATTGTGATTTTAATGACTACATTTTTTTGACATATCTTTTTGGGCATTGAAGAAAGAGTAACGTACATTTCAAGCTACATTTTTCAATAAAATCACCCTCTACTTTACCGTCTTGTCATTATTCCATGTATTAAAATTTGATGAAAAAAAACTGGAAACAAAATCTTCAGATACTTTCTTTCAAAGGTAATTGATAGAAAAATTGTTATCTTGAACTTCATTTTTTAAAAAATCAGAGAGGCATTTGTGCCCTTATATTGAGAATGGGTGTTATGTGGTTTACATTTAAGCTTATGATCTCAATAGTGGTCATCTCAAGAGGGGGACCAGTATACAAACATTGAGACAATGTGACTATTCATCTTGTGACCTCAAAATCATTAGGGTTTATTTATTCCTTCATGTATCATATTTATATTCTTTAGTAAAAGAAAAAACAATACATCCAATTGATAACTTTTATTTATGAATGCGTCAAAGAAATGAATATGTAATAGATACTGTATGATTTAACTGCAAAATGAACCATACATTACTTATAATTTGTCGTATGACTTGGTGAGATGTTATATCAATCTACAACCAGCAGTATATACATGTATTGGTGTATGTACAAACATGTGTGCATTCAGTGAAAATAAAAAACAAGGCTGTAACTACCATTGAGGCAAGTGAGGCAAATGCCTCACTAATTTTTTAGAGGTTTTTGAAAAGTGAAAAAGTTTTACATTGTATTTATGTGTGTCTTCGTGCTAAATTAATATTTTCAACTTTGATTCTGTAAATCCTTCATCTCACCAGGTGCCCCATTTTCATTTCGAGCGCATGTAAAATTTAATTCGAAATGTTTCTTTTGTAAATTGTTCAATTATTTAATCAACACCCCTTCTAAGAATTTCTCATTCATATTGAAACACTTGCCAATGGAGGGCTGCAAGTTTTAAATCTGTACTGGGCTTTCAGGATCAGTGAAGATGATTGAACAGTGAGAGGTCTTTTTTATGCCATCACTTACTGTGACATAGGATCTCGGTTTTTACGGTCTCATCCGAAGAACCTGTCTCTACATCCCGCAGTGGGATTCGAACCCGTGATGTAAGGATCAATTCCTTAGTCTGCGACTTTAGAGCATACGCTCTAACCACTGCGCCATTCAAAACGTAAAAACTTTATAAGATTTAATCTTTCATTTTCTAATACCCAGGTTTCAGGACCTCCTTCCCCTTGGAAACCTTATTAACTGGTCCTGAGGTACTACCCTTGCCCCGTCTGAGACTAGGAATACACAACACCCTTGCCTCACTAAAAATTTGAGCCTAGTTACGGCCTTGAAAAAACCCAATACATTCTTATGAATCCTTTTCAAATCAAATTCTCTGAAAATCTAAAATACAGATAATGCCTAAAATTATTTTCCATACAGCATCCAAGACTTCAAAAATTCCATAGATTTAATTGACAGTAGCTTAAATAGCAGCCAATTCCTCTCATTGCAAATTTAAGTTTATACCACACTTCTGCTCTGTTAAACATGCTTACAATATAATTTACACTCACTTTCACATCAAGCTTACATTTACACTTAAAATCAGTAAATTTAGCTATAACATTTCACTTAAATTGTTACATATATCTTATGTACATGCATTACATGTTCAAACATACAGCTATAACATATATAACATATACCGTAAATCTGGAAATTTTTGCTGTAGATAAATTTTTAGCAAATTTGCGAGTGCATTGAATTCGCAAAAATATTTTTCTTAAAAATAAATCACCAATAAGAAAATGTAAACAAAGCAGTGGTCATTCGCAAAATTTTGAAGCGTAAAAATTAATCAACAGCACTTAAACCCGAATTCGCAAAATAAAATCGACGTAAAATTTTCCAGATTTACGGTAGCTGTAAATGTACAGAGCTTATCTTCTGCCATTACACCCATACATGTAGCTTTATACACTGTACATAATCATTACACTTTCATAATTATATACATCACAGCTGAACAAATCTGATCGAACTTTTATCTCCAATATTTTGATGTTGTGTTCCTGTGACACGTATATAAGAAAGTCTGGATCTTATAACATGTGACTCAGGTTTCATAGCTTAAAATTTCTCACATACATGTATGTTGCAGGTATATATACCTGTGGTTTGTGGGTTACAAGTACATGTATCTGCAAGTGTTTTGAAAGTCCTGACATGGTCTTTGAGAGATTGAGGGTTGGTGGAAGTTAATTTAACACCTCTGTGATAGCTAGTTCACAACTTGTAACATTTTAATATTGCACAGATTTTCTTTCAAAGGCTGTAAACCTTTTAATCAAGTCTTTTGTTCAAATTTTTCTTTCCTTTTCTTCTTTTGTTCTAGATTTTTTTCCTTGATGTATTTCTGTTTCTTTCTGGCCTCTTCATCTGGATCCTGTAAATGTTCCATATACACTGTACATGTTTTTGTTTTATAGTGTTTACATATTAATCAACACTAACTTTCAGCAGACTGGGCAGTTTTCTCCCAATGGCAGGGGACACAAGATTCAAATGATCAGTGATGAAATAAATTAAAAGTAAATATTTAACATCAAATGCTAATACCATATGTAGGAGTATTAGACAATATGATACTAGGTGTCTAAATCCCACTTCTGCTTGGGAAAGGGTACGGCTCTTTTACAGAAATTAAAGACAATGTTGATATTTTTGGTACGTATTAGATATTATTTGTGGTTAAAAATTAACAAAGTCTTATTTTCAAAAATCAGTCAATTCAGGAATTGTTATGACCTGATTTTTCTTAAGAAAGTATGAATTGTAATGAATTAGCATATTTTGACAGACATATATGAACATTAAACATCTTCCTTTGATTGTGAGTATGGGAATTAACCACTTATGCCGTTTCTGTATTTTTTTTCAGCATGAGCTGCAACATTAATTCCCACACTTACAACATTCTATAGTTTTATTAAAAATTTTACAGTATTTTTGTGATTAAAACATTTTTATACAGAGCTATCCTCCTTGCTAGATAATGTATTTATTAAATAATGCATACAAATATGAAATAAACTGGAAATTCACCTACCCGTGAAAGTGTCAGAAGAGAAGAAAAATACAAAAATTACAACCTGTGGAAATAGTCCCCAATAGAGTATTTGGGTTTTAAATTTCCTTATGCATTTCTAAATACAATGCCTCACCATTATATATTTTACAGTAAAACTTTTATGCATTCCAATTTGAGTTCTACTTGAGTAGCAAAACAGAGACTGAGTACTAGTGCCTACAGGTAATTACCGGTACAAAACTAAAGAATGATTACCTTCCCTTCCATCAGCAGCTTCTTCCTTTTGTTTATCTCCTTTTGGACCACAAAGTCTCTTTCATCCAATTTCTATCAAGTTGCGAAAGAAAAATTATGGTAACAGAAATATAATACATGTACCATAGAAGGGTGGTCCATCAAGTTTGTTAACAATGATGTTTTTTTGTCAAACTGAATGAATTCAGATAAAGTACCAGTATACATGATAAAATGAATGATATACAATCGGTGACATACAAGACTGCCATCCCACAATCACTTACGATTTCTGCCTCTCTTTTTGCAGTAGCAACTTCTACCAAAATCTTCATTACTTCTTTTTCCTTGGTATCATACTCATCCATTTTTGAATCTGTTGGAAATAACATCAGTACAAAGATATACTCATATTCAATCAGAAATGTTTGTAAGAATGCACAAAGTATTGAATACATTGCAGACAGACATACTGACAAACTCCTCAATGGCATGAACCAGACGGACATCAAACTGGGTGACCAAGGTAATAGAAGTTCCATGACGACCTGAAAATATATTTATTTTTATTTATTCTATTATTTTCATTTATAATCTCTTTTCCCATTATAAAATATGAGATTAATTGAATAGATATTTGTATTAATGAATAAATTTTGCCAATAATCTTAAACCTTTACTAACAACAATCCTACTGTTTAACCTTTTTTTTTAGAGATTTTAGAGAAATATAAATTACTCAAACACTAAATGTTTATTTTTTTAAAATTATGTTCCATGAATCGGCCTATTTTACCTGCTCTAGCTGTACGTCCCACACGATGTACGTAGTCCTTAGGTTTATTGGGAACATTGTGGTTAATAATCAAGTCCACCGTAGGAATGTCTAACCCTCTAACAAAATTATAAACCTTCTATCAATACTTGTTTGTTTTAAGATGATTCAAAAGAATTGGAAAAATGTGCAATGATACATGTACATGTAATAGGTGCATGTTTTATACATCTTTCATTCTTTGTAAAATTGAAATGGTATGTTGATAGTATTTGCATACATATTTTAAGGCTTATCATGTATAGACAGTAATATTTTCAATTCAAAAATACCACGTTAAAAAATTTATTGGATCCATTGGTTGATCAGTAAACAAAGCCGTGGTGTTCCTACCTGCTGGCTACATCAGTGGCAATCAGAATGTTGATCTGATTCGATTTAAATTTAGCCAGGGCTGCCAACCTCTCCTTCTGTCTGATCATGGAGTGTAACACAACACAGGGAAGGCCTAGCTGTGTGCAGATCATTCCCAGAATCTGTGTGTATCTGTAACACAAAAATCATACAGATCATACCCAGAATCTGTGTGTATCTATAACACATAAATCATACAGATCATACCCAGAATCTGTGTGTATCTATAACACATAAATCATACAGAGCATTCCAAGAATCTGTGTGTATCTATAACACAAAAATCATACAGATCATACCCAGAATCTGTGTGTATCTATAACACATATATCATACAGAGCATTCCTAGAATCTGTGTGTATCTATAACACATAAATCATATAGATCATTCCCAGAATCTGTGTGTATCTATAACACATAAATCATATAGATCATTCTCAGAATCTGTGTGTATCTATAACACATAAATCATATAGATCATTCTCAGAATCTGTGTGTATCTATAACACATAAATCATACAGAGCATTCCCAGAAACTGTGTGTATCTATAACATAAATCATACAGAGCATTCCCAGAATCTGTGTGTATCTATAACACATAAATTATATAATTCATTCGCAGAATCTGTGTGTATCTATAACACATAAATCATAGGATCAGAATCTGTGTGTATCTATAATACATAATTCATACAGAGCATTCCCAGAATCTGTGTGTATCTATAACACATAAATCATATATATCATTCTCAGAATCTGTTTGTATCTATAATACATAATTCATATAGATCATTCTCAGAATCTGTGTGTATCTATAACACATAAATCATACACAGCATTCCCAGAATCTGTGTGTATCTATAACACATAAATCATGAAATCATTCCCAGAATCTGTGTGTATCTATAACACATAAATCATACAGAGCATTCCCAGAATCTGTGTGTATCTATAATACATAAATTATACAGAGCATTCCCAGAATCTGTGTGTATCTATAACACATAAATCATACAGATCATTCCCAGAATCTGTGTGTATCTATAACACATAAATCATAGAATCATTCCCAGAATCTGTGTGTATCTATAACACATAATTCATACAGAGCATTCCCAGAATCTGTGTGTGTATCTATAACACATAAATCACAGAATCATTCCCAGAATCTGTGTGTTTCTATAACACATAAATCATACAGAGCATTCCCAGAATCTGTGTGTATCTATAACATAAATCATACAGAGCATTCCCAGAATCTGTGTGTATCTATAACACATAAATCATACAGAGCATTCCCAGAATCTGTGTGTATCTATAACACATAAATTATACAGATCATTCCCAGAATCTGTGTGTATCTATAACACATAAATCATACAGAGCATTCCCAGTATCTGGGTTTATCTTAACTATTTCTAATTTTTCATAGGTATGCAGTGAACACATATAAAGGAACCTATATTCAGATTCATTGTCAAGAAATTAAGACATTTTAAATGACATTTAGAAAAATGGGCAAGTTGTATGCAAAACATTTCCAATGAATGTCTAAGACTACACAGAAAAGTACTGGTAAATGTCACTTTGGCCTAGTGAAATGTTGATTTAATTTAGTACAATGGACCTTCAGTTATCCGGACGCTACATATCCGGATGCTTCAGTATCCGGAAAACTTTTCATTGGAACAGAATTTTTAAATGTTAGTTTGTCTTGTTTAACTGGTAATTCAGGTATCTGGACTTTCACATATCCGGACAAACTGACTGGGATCAAAGCGTCTAGATAAATGATGCTCCACTGTAAATGCTTGGGAGAAGAGACTGTGTTGTACGTACAAACATACATATGCAATATATCTAAGGATCTTACTTGCATGTGTTGGTAAAGATCATGATAGAACTTTTC